CTTCTAAGACCAAAGTTCTTTTCAATTTAACAACAAATTGACAAGACAGAAAGAAATATTCCCTCTTCACTTTTATTTCAAAAGCTTCTGATTCCCTACAAAAATGTTTTAAGGAGCACATACACACAGCTAACCAATATTTTTCCTATATTTAATCCTATTCCAAAAGCATTTACTGATGCCCAATCTTGTGCTCAATACTGTAGTGAATAGATAATTATATCTTTATTTCTTTTAACTTTTTTGTTCATGCTTTCATATTTTAATTATACTGAGTGATGATATATGCAATATCATCACTAAAATTATATGTAAAACCTTGTATTTGCTGTTCTAAATGCAATAGATGATTTTGCTGACTACTTATGCCCTCTAAAAGTTAATAATCTGTAGCATACGCTTCATAAAGAATTTTTAAATACTGATATTGGTAGAATTGTTTTGCCATATTTTGAAGTTCTTTTTTTGTGCCTTCAATATTAAAGAAATGCCTAGAGATATGTCATTATTTGAAGGTACAGGTAATGCACACTTGATTATTTTTTATGTACAAAACTCTCAGATCCTAAAATAGAAAAACAGAAATTTCCTCTTCTCTTAGAACTCCCAAATTTGAAAGCGAAGGTATTTCTAAGTTCTAAAGACCAGTCTTTAGTGTAAAAGCAAAACATTGTTAGCTATGAACCAGAAAGCCCTAGCTCTGAGGTAGATGTTCTGATGCTGTTTTTGAAGTCATTTGGTCTAAAGAGATGAATAATCTATTTGTTTGTAAGCAAAAATCTGAAGGCACAGATAAGAATACTTTGTCCAATTACAATTGTTTAAATACATCAGAGGATGTAGCAGAGCAATATTTTTCTATTATACACAAACATTTTTACAGTGTACATAAATCAAGGAAACAAAATATGATTTTTACATAAATAACTGGTAAGATAAATAGTATTTATGCCCTGCAGTAAAATTTTCAGAAATCAAATAAAGCAGGAAATAAGCACTTCTTAAAAAAGCATAATTAATCCAAAAAATGTCAGCTCTTGTCCACGATGAAAGAATCTCTCCTTTTGTTTCCTCTGCTCTGTCCAGAGCACATGGAGACATTGTCATTCCCTCCCGTTCTTTTCTAATTCTAAAAGGAGGATTTGAGGAGCCTTGTGAAAAAAACATAAAGTAAAATAAGAGAAATAAAAGAGAAAGGAGGCGAATTGGGAGACCAAAAAGAGAATGAAATTGTGAGACTCACAGGAGTTAGTACAATAGAAATGTATTTGATTTTAGAGGATAAAAAGAGAGAAGCATTCAACCAAAGAGACTGTGGGGACAGAGCCGGGCCCAGCACATTCACCTCCTGGGAGGAGGCTCCTCTGTGTTTAATTTCTTATCAGCCCTCTCTGTCCTCTCTTCTAGGGCAAATTAGCAAACAATGGTCACTTCCTGCCGTTGTCAAAGGTCTGAGGTTACAAACCTCTTCTTTTGCTAGTATAAGCTCATTGGAAATTTGGTCACTGACCACACAAAACCATTTTGAAATCAATGTAAGTGAAATGTTTTAGGATATTTTATAGCAAAGTGCAAATTCAAAATAAAAAAAAAAAACACTGATGTCTGGTCTCTTTCTATGTAAATACCTAGTGAAGAGTGTCATCACCGCTTTTGGTTTTGGTTATTTTATTTTATTTTAAGATTCATTTTTTATTATGCATACAAGAACTGAGGTATAGGCCAGAGGTGTTGGGGGGGTGAGAGGATTCACCAGAGACAGAGTGGGGAATAGAACAGTTGGACTTGACTGAAATACACTGCTGAGAGGAGCAGTGGGAGAGTGAAGAAAGGTCTGCTGTGCCATGTGGGTAGTTCCCTGGCCAGGGATCAAACTCGCACTGCAGTGGCTGCAGACATCTTCTTAGGTTGTGTCTTAAGCCCTTGCGCCACCTGGGAGGCCCTGGTTTTAGCTATTTTAGAACTCTCTCTCTCTCTCTCTCTCTCTCTCTCTCTCTCTCTCTCTCTCTCTCTCTCTCTCTCTCTCTCTCTCTCTCTCTCTCTCTCTCACACACACACACACACACACACACCCCAAACACACACAAACACACAAAAACACACACACTTACCTGCCTGAGATATCAAAATGGAATGGATAATAAAGGAGAAATTCAAGAAAATAGTCATACGATCACCTTCTTCATCTCAATAACCTAAAATGTAGGGCAAGTGCCTTAATTTCAGTGAATTTATTCAACAGGGTATTAAAAGATGACACTCTGGAGATCTTTTCTCTCCACTGAAAGTGTGACTTTCTTTATGTGAGGGTAAGTGGACATAAAAGCCATGGCAGATATGAGAAGTGTATTCTCTCAGCACAATGCTGAATATATAAAAAGAGGCTCATTGAATCCTTACTGAATTAAATACCTGTTTTTTTCACTAGTAGTAGCAGAAGGAAGACAAGCTCTGCTTGGTAAAAATACAAAAGGGCAGAAAATCAACCCAAGAAAAAGAAGCATGTCTTCCGTGCATTCCAAGAAATGCCACTGTGAGCTCCTAAAAGAGATAGTAACCAGTGTGGAAAGCACTACAATACCAACAAGCTGGGTTCTAGAATGTGTTTTTCCCCTTTTCAAGCTTCTTTGGTTCATTTTATTTTTGGACCAAGGTAGGGTTATCACAACTCAAGAATCAGCTCACAACCCAAGTGAAACAGCAGCAACAACAAGAGATTGCAAAGCCCACTGGGAACACATATGTACTCCACATTCCGTGTTGCTCTGTTTAGCATAAATTGGTCAAAATCAATGATGCTTTGGTAACTAGTAATAGTTGGGGAGATAGCATAAAGACTGGATCCACAGGCAAATTGGAATTATTTTATAATCATACAAGGGAAGGACTTTAGAAACAAACGTTATGTGTGAAACACAGAAGGCTGGACCAGCAGCCAGTGAGATGTGTTCCACACTGCCACTTCCCCAATGCAGTGTCTGGCAATTCCATAAAATCACTCATCTGGGTCAAGCATTGAAGGTCCTGAAAAGAATATAATTTTTTTAAGAAATAATTCCATGGCAATTCATTTGGATTCGTATAGGCCATAAGCGAGTCCACCACCTAGAACAAATTTAAAGAAATGCATACAAGGAAAATTTCAATGAGATAGTTAGAAAGAAAAGAAGTAGCGTGGGTCACTGCCTAGAGAAGACCCAGGTTACTTGGCACAGCACACCAGACAGTGTCAGCAAGACCCAGTGAGTACAGGAGAATCACTCTGCAGACAGACCACTTGATCCTCCAGTTCTCATCGCCACTGAACCCGAGGCCCAGTAAGAATAGGCAGAAGGGATGGGGAGGGGATTGTGTGCTGCCGTCCAGCAGGTCTACCCAGACCCACTCGGGCAAACTGGATAGCAGAGACAGTCCACCTTGCCATGTCTTCAGACTCAGGTCTCCGCCTAAAGCATGGTGTGATTCTGTTCACCTAGCTTCTGGGACAGCACCCACAGGACCACATCAGAATAGAACAGAACAAAAAGCTCATGCTGGCTTGCTGTTCCTTCACATCCCTCTATCCCTTCAGAGAAAGCCTTTGGAGATGTGCTGGAGGCAATTAGAATTCCCAAACCTTTAGTCTAGTACAAGTCTCTTTCATGTATTTAGGAAATTGCTCAATCCCCTTTTCCATGTTGCTGTGATTCAAACTGTGAGTAATTGGGATAAGAATACTGGCTATCTTTAGAAGTCTTTCTGGACAAATTGAGAAAAATTAAATTACAGCATTGTTCCTGTAAAATGCCAATTGAAATAGCTTTTAGAGAAATTCACTTCTCTTTTCATGATGTAGGACCCTAACCTAATTTTGTTCCACAAACATCTCACTCTAGAGGAGGAAATGAAATTTTTTAACTGAAATAAGCATACATCAATAACTACCTAGTGCTAAGATGAGCCTGAAGAAAAGGTTAGAATTATTATGAGTCATAAAACTGACAGTAAAGAACCTGATTATTTAACAGAAAACACTCTATTTAAGATAAGATGTGAAATGGAAGGTCGGCTGGGGAGCAAAGTGACTAATGTGATTGAGCGCACCTTTAGATCACACAGATCTGTCATCAGTGGTGTAGTAAGAAGTGTTCTTTTTTCCTGCTTTTGGGAAGAGACTTCTGCTTATAAATATCATCAAAAATTATATACTATTTTATATTACATAACATACACATCTATTGCATAATATAATAGTATACATGTACATCAATGAAATGAGATATATATGAAATAAAGAATACATAAATATGTATTTATAGATATATAATTTCTCATATATTTAGAACTAAAATGAATTCTCATTCAGTGTCTGGATACTGGCTGAGAGTTTCGTGTGTCTATTATGCCTATCACAGTTCCTGGTGCATAAAAAATAAAGTAAATCAGTATGGCAGCTATAATTATAAACATTTTACAGATAAAACTTATAGGTAGAGAAATTGGGAAAATATAAGGCATAACTACATGATTATAAATAGCCAATATAGGTCTCTCTGGGGGCCTAGGGGTTAAGTCTCAGTGCTGCCACCACTATGGCCTGAGTTCGATCCCAGGCCAAGGAGTTGACCCACATGGCGCAGCAGACCTCTGCTGTCTCGCCCGCTGCTCCCTTCAGCAGTGGATTTCAATAGCTCTGCCTGTTCTGCTCCCCACTCTGTCTGTGGTGTATCCTCTCATCCCCCACAACCCTGGCCTACATCCCAGTCTCCTACATTAAACAAAGCCAATCTATTTTTATGTATTTTTATATTTTTATATATATTATATATAAAAATAAATTTAAAATAAATAAATAAATAAATAAAAATACAAAAGAAAGCCAATCTAGTACTAGATTTCTACCATATCTAATTGCAAATGTTGCCAACTAATTTTTTTCTTTTTTTTTAATTGGAAGTGTATCTATGTTTCACATTGGAAACTTCTTCTGAACCTGTCAATGTCTTCCTTTCGTCTCCTAGATACACCAAAATGAAGACTGCCACCAACATCTATATTTTCAATCTTGCTCTGGCAGATGCCTTAGCGACCAGTACCCTGCCCTTTCAGAGTGTCAATTACCTGATGGGAACATGGCCCTTTGGAACCATCCTCTGCAAGATTGTGATCTCCATTGATTACTACAATATGTTCACAAGCATATTCACCCTCTGCACCATGAGTGTTGATCGCTACATTGCAGTCTGCCATCCTGTCAAAGCCCTAGATTTCCGCACTCCCCGCAATGCCAAACTTGTCAATATCTGCAACTGGATCCTCTCTTCAGCCATTGGTCTGCCTGTAATGTTCATGGCAACAACAAAGTACAGGCACGGTGAGTAATGTTGCAAGCCCGAAGGATGAAAAGTTATAGAGTAATATGTTGGTGAAGTAATGAACCAAGTAGAATTTATGAAGCAGTTCTATGTGTTCCTCAAATTGTAATTTTAATGATTCTTTCCAGAGAAATGGTTTTGAATATTTTGAAATAGGAATTTTCTCTATCATTGTAAGTCTTCTAAATATTTTAAAGAAAATATAATCTATTGGCTCCTGATTTCTCTGCACTTACTTGATCAAAATGATGGGGAAATAAGAACATAGCTCTTTCCGGAGTAATTAGAGTTTAAACCCAAAAAGGTATTCAGTAGAAGCTTGTTTTAAAATGTTAAGTGACAAATTTATCTTTTTAGACCTCATATCAGAATGATGAATCATCCATCTGCAAGTGGAGTGAAAACACCCGTTAGCTGCAATCTCCTATAGACTTTGACAGTGGTTGCATTTTTTATATCAATATAAACCCTTCAGATGATCTACTTCATGGTGGGAGTCCACAGTTGCTGGCTTAATGTATATAAAAAATTAAATTTTTAGGAAAAAACTAGAAATAGCTCTCTCTGAAAATCAACAAGAGCTGAGTTTCTCCCACAATTTCTTTATTTTTTTTTAATTTAAATATTAAATTTTATTTTTATATTCCCCCATACAATTGCAAACACCCCATTCTGACCCCAATCCCTCCCCTCCCGCCCCCCACCTCCCAAAAAGTGTCTCTGGTTCATAGTTTTTGTTGATTTTGATTTTCACTTTCTTATATTCATTTTCCTGGTCCCTTATTTAAGTTTTCTAGATTCCTGCTATGAGTGAGACCATCCGGTATTTTTCTTTTACTTTTTGGCTTATTTAGCTGAGCATGTTCTCTTCCAGCGCCATCCATGTTGCTGCAAATGGCATGTGTTTATCTTTTTTGAATGCTGAGTAATAGTCCATGGTGTATAGGCACCACATCTTCTTGATCCAGTCATCTATTTCTGGGCATTTGGGTTGTTTCCAAAGCTTAGCTATTGTAAACAGTGCTGCTATAAACATAGGGGTGCAGGTGTTCTTTGGAATTGATGTTTCTGTGTCCTTTGGGTAAATACCTAGGAGTGGAATTGCTGGGTCCTATGGAAGCTCTATGTTTAGTAGGTCCAGAAATCTCCACACAGCTCTCCATAGTGGTTTAAATCTTCCTTTTCTTGTTTGCATAACATAATAGCTTTACATTAGCTCTGGCCAAGGCTATAAATTAGTAAGAAAAACGGTAATAAGAATACACAGTGATATAATTAAATGTTGCTGCTAATTCTTCCTTTTAATTCTTTTCTTCCAGGTTCCATAGATTGCACACTAACATTCTCTCATCCCACTTGGTACTGGGAAAACCTGCTGAAGATCTGTGTTTTCATCTTTGCCTTCATCATGCCGGTCCTCATCATTACCGTGTGTTACGGACTGATGATCTTACGGCTCAAGAGTGTCCGGATGCTCTCTGGCTCCAAAGAAAAGGACAGGAACTTGAGAAGAATCACCCGGATGGTGCTGGTGGTCGTGGCGGTGTTCATTGTCTGCTGGACGCCCATCCACATCTACGTCATCATTAAAGCCTTGATCACCATCCCAGAAACTACTTTCCAGACTGTTTCCTGGCACTTCTGCATTGCTCTGGGTTACACAAACAGCTGCCTGAACCCAGTCCTTTATGCATTTCTGGATGAAAACTTCAAGCGATGCTTCAGAGAGTTCTGTATCCCAACTTCGTCCACCATTGAGCAACAAAACTCCACTCGAATTCGCCAGAACACGAGAGACCACCCCTCCACGGCCAACACGGTGGACAGGACGAACCATCAGGTACGCAGCTTCTAGAATTAGGTGTACCTACTGGGAATGATGTAACAATGATAGAGTTTTATACCCATCTAAGATTTTACTCCATTAGAAGGAGGTTGATAATGTAGTTATTGAGAGTCAGCATGAAAAAGCAGGAGAGAGGGCCAAACTGTGATCTTAGTATTGGAGGACAGCTTCATTTTATAAACTGAGCTCTATCTATTTTCACATATTCATTGAGATATCCAGATAGGCCATTGAGAAAGCATAAAGTTGCTAGAAATCACTATTTTCATAGCTTTGTCTTCTATGCAAAATCTGTAGTTAGCATATTGTGGAAAGGACTCTGCTTGTTTTCATTTTTCCCCAGTGCTGATATATATTTCATACATATCTCCCCAAAATCCCTTCAAAAGCTCTGCTTCTGTGGTTGAAGAGAAAAGGTCAGCAGTTAGCCCAATGTGACAGATACAAAATGTTCCCAGCAAGTCAGCGTGACAACAAAGGAGAACGGAGAAGAAACGGCCAGTTCTGGCTTTGTTAAGCTATTTCTTTGCAAATTTCTTTGCAAATTTTTACAGTTGAATTTCAGAGTAAAGATCAAACACAATTAGATGGTAATTTAGTTCTAATTAATTATTAGAACTGAGTCAGTTTTATAACAGTTCTCATACCCATTGGGGTTAATATTGTGAGGAATGACATTACTGTTAGTTATATTTCTAGGTGCAGGAGAGTGAAAATGGGGCCACTTGGAAGAGTGTTACACGCAATATTATAATCACATGACAGATCTAGAAGGAGCAGAGAGAAAAACCTGTGTCTAAGTTAATATGACCTTGTTAAGCCACTAGTTTGCAAATTTGGAATCTAGCCTATAAAGTAAATGACATATGTCACTTCATGATTAACATTAATTTAAGGAAGTAAACTTTCTATTTCAAATAATAGTGCCAGGACTAAGAAAATTCATAGTTTGTGTAATTTTATAACACAGAACTCAGATTCAAACTTCCTGTCAAGTAAATTCTTGGGTTATAACCTTAGATAAAGTTCCTACAGACAGGGAACAAGATTATGGGGACAGACGCTGCCATAACATGATGAGGAAGCCAGCACCAGAGGAGGACCTGACTACTGCAGAGCTCAGCCACCTCCTCTCTGCTTCCTCGTCCTCTTGGCCCACCTCTCCATCCTCTCGTTGGCCCACTACCGCCACCCAGTCCAGCCCAGACCAGGCTCATCCTTTCTAGTTGACCACAAGACTGATGTAATCGGGCCCAGATGGATCTGCCAGAAGGGGCATCGATCCTCATGCTTGAGATAATAATGCGAACATGAGCAAAGGACTCCCAGAGAGTGTGGGTAATGATGGCAGACCCGCCAGCCAAAGGAACATGATTAACTTATTACATCTCCCTTTTAACTCCTTTCAGAAATAAAAGCCAGAAAGAAATGGTTTTTTACTCTACTTTTTTTTCCTCTATTGTCTTCCACATCAAGACCTCTCAACCTGCTCCTTTGACTAAGCAGTCTCCTTCTCAGCAGCTATCCAGATCTTGTGAGTAACTTTAAGAGGCTAGTGATGTAAATAGATTTTTCTCCAACCTAAGGACAAAATTTTAAGAATGCAAGTTGAAACGCTGAGCCCTAAACTCAGGTGAAAGTATTTTTCACTGGAGCAAAATATTTCCATTGGAACAAAGTGATGGTCATTATAAAGTGTGGGCGCTTTCTCTATCAATGCCTCCCCAAGCCTTTCCTGTCCTTAAAAGCTTAGGCTGTGGCTATTGGAAATGAATCCTGGACCACCGCAGGTCCTCCTGATCCACTGAGTCTCTCTCAGTGCCCTTCACTAGACTTGCTCCTTGCAGAGGGAGCTCCAATCTGTTGGGAGGGGCCGTTTTCCCTAGTTCAGTTGAATGAGTATCCTTTGGTTGCCTCGACATGCCCTTGAGTCCCTTCCAAATCCAGCATTTTCACGTTGTGTGGTTCTTGCACAGTCAGAGAGAGGAGAAAGGAAACTAATTGGGAAACTCTGTTCTAAGTAACTAAAAGGTTTGCTTTAAAAATACATCCAATTAGGACTTCTCTTCTTTGTGCTTCTATGAAGCCACATCAGTGTCAGATAACAGCAGAAACACATTAGCCCTGGAATTGGCTGCTCTCCCAAAATGCCCAGCTGGGAGAGCTGGACAGAGAAGAACAGCTGCCAGGAAAGAGGAAAAGACACTCTGACATATTTGAAAATTAAGATAAATCAGAGATCCCTTTCACTAATCTCCACTGATGTGTCTTTATGAGGAGAAAGGACACTGCACAGAGACATCTGGATCATACCTAAGCCTATGGTGATCGTTTCAATCATACATCAGAATAATAAAATTATGTGAAAGAAAATCGGAGACGTCATGGCTATGTCTGTAGACGTTGTTGATTAGCTGTACAAATTCAGTATCTGGCAAAGAGCTTTTAATTTTTTTACATCATGAGCCATGATGTTAGCAACAAAACTAATCGGATTTACATTGACTTTTTAACTGATGGTTTGAACTTTGTACTGTTGTAGATGTTTATGTCCTGTCTGTGTATTTATATTTTCTCCAAGAAATATATTCTACTATTTGTGTCACATCTCAAGCACATTAGTCAACTTCATATTCTACAGATCAAAGATCCAATATCAAACCTTCCCAGGGTGTCTGTATTCTGACAGCTGTACACTGAGACCATGTCCACACAGCGCAAAGTGAAGTGGAAAGTTGGCAGTTTTCAAGGTAATTTGCTAAGCCATATGAGAAAATGCTGTGCCCATCATAAACTTTGAGTCATCCTTACATGATTAAGGTCTACTCAGTTGACATTGGTTGCAAAAAATATCATTCCAAAGTTTAGAGACCAAAACCATCCATTTAGTTAATAGTTTGTGATTTAATAGTTTGTAAATAGATGAGTAATTTATCAGGACTGGGCTGGCTGGTCTGGGCAGGCAGTTCAACCTTGGTTGGGCACACTCTCTGGTCAACAGTAGCTGCCAAGTCAGTCATCAGCTGATGATCTAGGATGACCCCAGTAAGGAGTGTATCCACATAGATTCTCATCATGCACCATGATAACCCAGACCCCAGCTTCAAGGAGGGCAAAAGAGACTGTACCTCTTGGGGCCAGGAGCTGCAGTCACATTGCCAAGGAGTATGGCTCTAGGGAGGGAGTAATTGTGGCCACTTGTGCTAGCCACCTACAGAGCAGGCACAGGCTGTGTGGGACGGGGCGCTGCAGCCTTCCGAGGCAGGAAGCACATCTGCCTTGTTCTTATACTTCCAGCATCTCCCAGCACTATGTCTGATTCATTCAACAGAACTCAGAAGAGACCTGTTGAATGTATGAGTGATCAGTGGACTTGTGACATTTCAGGAGATTCAGAGGGTGGTGAGAATGAACCCTTTCTTGTGTAACCAATTAACCACCTCAATAACTACATAACCCTGACATTATTTCAGGCTCACCCTTCGGTTACAGAGAAAGATTCCCCAGAGGATTTTCATTTTCACATTTTCAGCATTTTATCCTCTGATCAAGAGTCATGCCTTTCCAAAAAAATGTCACTTTGTCACAAAGACTGACATGTGTATTTGTCTTCTACTTTTATTTTTTTTAACACTATTGATGAGGAAACCAAGAACTGGACTCAGTGCCCTAAAAAGCCCTTGCCAAGACTAAGTATGAAAAAACAATAAACAATCTCATGTTCTTTTGTGCATTCCAGGGCTCAGCCTGCTGCTCCAGCTGTATGTCCCATGCCTGATTTATGATCTGCTTGTGATCTTTATGGCTTCTAGATCTTTATTAGGTAAACTTGGGCAGAAGCATTCATTTTCCATCGGCTCTCAGTGCAATTTAATTTCTCATATATGAACAGAGTCCTTATTGAACTCCACTTCGCTTCAGAACCTCCCCCCTACCACCACCACTACCACCACCATTTTCTCAAATCAATCCAGGTCCCACTCTGACATGAGACGCTGGCTGCCATTAACCTGGCTTCATTGCTTGGTTTCCACCCTGGCTGCATGCTATCATGAATTTCCTGTTTTAACACCTACATGTTTTTTTTTTTAAAAAAAAACACAACATTCTGTGGGAAAAGAGAAGACTCAATTGAATCAGTGGGATTATTATAGCCCTATTAACATTGCTATATTACAATTGTGAGACTGCAGATTAGCAAGGGCTGTCATTCGCATTATCAAGTCTGCTTCCGACCACAAATCTAATGGGTAAACATGAAAACGTAAATGTTCAGGGAGGTTATATGATTATACAAGATCAAACAAGAGTCAGCCCAAACACCAGGCTTCTGAGATTAATGTGAAGCTTTACTCTGCGTTTCCACACATCACCACTTCGCACCCAAATGTTATTGAATGTAGTTTCAAATGTTATTGAATGTAGGTTCAAATGTTATTGAATGTAGGTTCAAATGTTATTGAATGTAGGTTCCAAATGTAGGTTCCAATTCATTCTGGTTCATTGGGTCAAGGTCAAGGTGGTCAAGGTGGGATCCAAAAATATGCATTTCGAATGAGATACTCAACTGAAAATTCTGATTTAAACTGTAATTTCATTCAAACACTATCAAATTTACTGTTACTGTTTTGTCTAAACTCAATGACCATTTCAGTCAAGCAGATTAATGGGAATTTTCTCACCAAATAAATCTTGCATTTACCAAAATAATGCAGTTATCCTTGGACAAAGTTTTAACTTTTCAATATACCAGTAAGACCTAGAGGACAAAGTAGTATTACAGTGTTAAAGCTCACTGTATTTTAATCTCATGCTAACTTTTTATTAATGAAGCAAGTCCATTATTAAACCCTTTCATTACCAACTTTTAAGCATTTTCTTGACATTTCAGTCAAATAAACTCAAGAAATTAGGAGATGCTTTGTGTTTGTATTAACAAAACCATATGATCCCCATCTCAGCTAAATGCAGAAGTATAATTTTTTAAATCAACCACATTACTCTCAAAA